TAAAGAAAGAGAGAGAGAGAGAGAGAGAGAAAGAGAGAGTGAGATAGAGAGAGAGGGAGAGAGAGAGATGGGTTATAAAGTAATCTATGGTAATGTGGTTGAAAGGAGAAGTTGTTCTACCTTTGCTCACTGTCAAAATCATAGTTCTATGACGAAAATCCCATTCTAATCTCATTTAGAAGTCCTAAACTATAGTTGATTGGTAAACTGAATAACTTCAAGGACTCATGGACTCATCCAGCAATAATCGGTCTCTGCGTTAACTCCCTTTTAACCCTACTATCCTTAACCCAACCATACTTGATAGATCCACTTGAATGTAGATATTATTCAGTTGCATCTAGCTTATGCTCAATATGGTAGACTCGGAAGTTCCTGGCAGCTATAGGCCCGTTCATCAGCGCCTTTTCCCCATAGACATCTAGCCCTGCCCCTAGGTGAACTCTCTCATATGGAATCTGCTCTGAAATGATTAGCATATTTTTATTGCTACTTCGAAATCACTTGAACTTTTACTTGTGACCTTCGATGGTTTTCGCTGTCAAGTTTTTCGCTGTTGTTGCTTTAAATGGAAATGCCTGGGAGAGACCTTTGAAGTGGCATCTAATCATTCTACTCGCCGGCAGCGGAACAACCCCCCCGGAACAGCCTAGACCTCCCGCTCTGCCTCCATATCCCACTGCTGTCAGAATGCTGTCATACTCCCTGGTTAAAAAATGAAAAAAAAAGACAAAAGCGAAGGCGGATAAAAGAAACAAGCGCGTGCCTCGCTGCCCCAGTGGAGAAGGTAGGGGTAGGGGTAGGGCAAGAGGCAGAGGRGCTTGCGGTGGTATAGCAACGACTGCAAAAAGATGATGAGAAACTTGAGCGTCAAGCAGGCAGAAGCTTTAAGCCGCTAAATTGTATCGGATTACAGCAAATTCCAAGCTAAAATTCCTTGCCCACAGGCGGCGGGCCGAGCTCAGCCAGCTGCCTATATTCCGTCTGCCCTCAGCTGCCCCCCTCTCACTCTCTCTTTGTTCCTTGGAGCAGCTATGTTAATGAAGGTGCTTCAGCCGGCATAGATGCGGGCAGCGGCAAGGGGCGGACAGAGGCAAGGTAGAGCTGAGCTCGTCGTCCTGCTGCTGCTGCTGCTGCAACTCCTCGACTACGATGGCTGGGGGGCATAGAATGCATTGAAACGGCGCTGGCTAGCAGTGGAACGCGAGGAGGGGCCGGATGACACACAAGTGCTGAGCCAGCTGAACCCGTGAACTCGCGTGGGCTGAGCGCGCGATAGCGAACGCGAATCGTAGCACAGTTACAGTTAACAACGAGCAAAGACAATCAATCGCGATGGCTGCGAACCCCTTAACCAAAGCCCAGACMTAAAGCCAAAGCCAAAGCCAAACCAAAACAAAAATTGCGAGTTCAACTCGCGCACAGAAATTGCACACAATTTGCCTAATTCGCGCGCCCCCTCTCAGGCCCGCTCGCATCGCCAGCTCCAAGTGAAAGAAACAAAAAAGCAAAAACATTCAAAACAGGATGAGCCGCGGTGCTGAAATTGCTGCGGTTTGTATACCCTGTATTCAAATGTAGTAGAGGGTGGTATCAAACGAGTAGAGAGAGTGCCAAAATTAGTTTGAAATGAAAAAATATAATCAAATTTAGCTTAGTATTTAGCTAGTATTTTTAGGAGAGGGTGAATAGAATTGAAAGTATTTATGTTCGAATTGGTATAAAATATTTATAATATATATTTTTATATATTTAGAAGTCTATTTCTTATGGCAATTTAACTTAACATTGATAGAGGCTAATTTGAATGTATTATTATTATTTTATTATTAAATTTATATTATTTTTTAAGATTTATACAAATTAATTATCGTGTAAATCAAATTTTGACATGGAAGTATTTGCTATAGTTTGGAAATGTTGTAGAAATTACTATAAAACATCTGCAACAATATTGAATATATTGTGGTTCTTAGACAACACTCCAAGATACCTAGTAATACCCTGTAAGCGACACTAGGCACAACAATTTGATTTATTTTAGGCACTTTAATTGAGTTTGGTTCCATTTCATTCAGATTTCATTTTTCTTTCTTCGGCCAAGTGCTGGGTATGTCTTAGCTGTTCATTTTCGACCGCAGTAGCTCTGCTTCTTCTTTTTTTGGAGCTTGGGCCTTGGCAACTGCAATTATTGTTTGCGGCTTTTCAATTGCCTTGGCTCAGCTAACAGCTTCAGCTTCAGCTTCAGCTTCAGCTTTTGGCTCAGCTTTGGCTGCAAGTTCAGGCTCGGAGTCAGTCATCATAAGGTGAGAATATAATAGCGCAATCGTGAGATGCGTGACTGCAATTGCCCCTACGCCTGGCCGCTAACTATGCACAGTGGGGCGGGAGTATGGAAAAATATGATGTGCAGAGCAAAAGAGAATATTGTAAGAGTGCTCTACTTTAGAGACTCTCACTAGGAGATGCCATCAATCCTTAACAGCGCTGCGATTCCCATCAATCGTAGCCTATTTTCTTTTACACTTTTGCTTCCATGATGAGCCGTGCTCGCACCACTGTGCGGGATGCCCGTTGCCCGTTGATGTGATCAGCGTTCGGCTTTGAGCCACTTCGGGCTCAGCTCGGAGCGAACCCAGCTGATAAGCAGCCCAAACAAACAAATAATAATGGCACGATTTGTGGGCTGAGGCACAAATATTTTGTGTTGTTCGGCTTTGATTGAGCCAAACGGGCGAGCGAGCGCGCGCCTTTAACTAATTGAGCTTCAGTGTAGAAGGCGGTTTTCCCGAAAGTTTTTCTCGTTTCCCTGTGACGTTTCCTGTGTGCTGCAAGCGAACTTCATAGAGAGTCTCTCGCCCCATCTCTGGAGTAGCTGCGGCTGCCATTTAATTAAAAATGAAAAGTTCTTTTTAAGAAAAGGGTCTGCCATGCATTTGCGGAAAATTAAAAGTTTTCCCTGCCACGTCCGTCTGCCTGGGAAAATGTCACATGCCACATGTGTGTGTGTGTGTGTATGTGGGTGTGCCTCACAACATAATTGTGTGCAAGTTTTTAAGTTTTAAATGAGTTTTGCGGCAGGGGAAATGCCTTAAATTCCAGCGAAAGGAAAACTGTTTTCAGAGCTGCCCATAAAAGTGGATTAAAAAAAAAAACGAGAAGGGTTTACCTATCATCAGGTCGATCATTTGTAGCAATAATGCGAATTGTTGTGGGGCCTCATAAAACGTGTGTCCTTCTTCTTCTTCTTCTGCTTCTGCTTCTTCTGCTGCCGCAGCTTAAAAATGCAAAAGCTTCCAAGTCATAAAAGCAAAATAAAAACTTTGCTGCGACGCAGCAAGCGAAGAGTGAGCGAACCAAAAAATCTGGCAATCTTAAAGGGAAGACTATTAAACTTTTTCCAGCACACACACAACACACACACATACACACACACATCGGCACACACACACAGAACAAAAGCTTGTGAATTGGAACTTTTCCGCATGTATAAAACATATGATTTTTGGCTTGATGGCCCTGCGGGCCAATTTGCCTGTCTAGAATAAATGGCACAGTGGTTGCAACTGACTAAAATGTGTGTAAAAAATATATATACATAGACATATATATTTTTTTTGATTTCTTAACTTGAGCTATCATTGGCATTTTGTCCTGAGCTTTTCGTGCCACTGTGCATCACTGTGCATCACACACAACTTTGCACCACTGTGCAGCCTGTGCGAGCGTAGTCCAGAATGCTGTCAAAAGACGTTTGTGCCACTGCGCAGCGCGCTAATAAAATAAACCTGTGTAAACGTGCCGCAACTGCCGCTGCACGGCGATTCCTCCTCCTGCTACACTCGGCCCCCGCCCACTCTCGCTGCCCCTGCTGCCCCTGCTGCTGCTGCTGCTGCTCCACTGCCTGTGGCCTGTAAATTTGAGCGCCTCGTGCRGACATAAATTGTGTGTTAAATACATTTTATGCGTTTGCCAAACCCACGACCGAGTCACAGTCGACTGCAAAACGCAATCAAGGTCGCCCAACTGGCAGGCCATACACTGCGCGAAAACGGGCCCAACATATGTCTATGCATGCTAAGCGGGACGTCTCGTATATCTAACTGGATAGGGGCAGCTTTTGTGACTTGTTGCCTGCCCATTTCGCTCAGTGTAGCTCGTGTCGTCTTCTTGTTGACGTTGCCCCGGGCGCGGCAGCACCTAAAAAGCGCAGGACCTTTGCCTATGATGTATGGCGCGCACAATGTTGCGTATTAGAAACGCACGTATTACTGCCACACAGCTAGAGTTGCTGCTCCAGCTCCAGCTCCAGCTCCTGCTCCTGCTCCTGTTTCGTTTGTGTAATCCTTTGGCTGCTCCTYTTCTTGCTGCGTGGCAAACAGTTGACGTAGGCGGCAGCTGAACGTACACATGTTTGTGTCACATTTTGACTACATATTCCACACTTTCCAGACAAGTGTGCGTGTGCGTGTGTATGTGCGTGTGTGTGTTAGTTGTGTGCTCACTTTACTGCTTGAGCTTGGCATTTCCTTTGTGAATTATAAAGAAATTTGTTGTGCGCTTTTCTTGCTGTTGTTGTACGCAACGTTTTGTTCTTCTGTGCGTG